TCCTGGCCTGTATGTGGATTCGGGCAAACAAAAACAACATTGTACATACGGGGTAAAAGCGCAGGAAGAAAGAGAGATGGGAGAAACAGAGAGAGAGAGAGAGAGAGAGAGAGAGAAAGAGAGAGAGAGAGAGAGAGAGAGAAAGAAAGAGATAAAGAAAGGAAGAAAAAGAGTGTGTGTTCTGGAGGCACAACGAGAAGAGAGCTCTCGATAGCAGGCATGCTTACCTCTTGGTGGCGTCGAGTAACGCGCCCTGGAAGCACTTGGCACCGTGAACGAAGGACACGACGATGATGTCCGGTAGCGCGGACTCGACGGTCACGAGGATCTTGTCGCCCCTGGCGAGTGTGAGCGCGGACAGGGCCACCGTGTCCGCCGCCATCTTGGCTCGTTAGAATTATTGCTCCTCGCTGTGTCGAGACCCGTCGTCTCTCTCTCAGCGGATGACGTGAGGAGCGGCTGGGGCTGCCTCACTCTCCTCCGTGTACACGGAGGCCATGGACTCTGCGAGGCATGCTTGGGGTGGGGGAGACAGGAGGGCAGTCTCGGCCTGCTTGCTTGCTCGCTTGCTCGCTCGTTTGCTCGCTTGCTTTCCTAGCAGCCACCACCGCCAGCCGCACCACATTTCACGTTTGTGCACAGCTGGGCAACCGTGCCCTCACTGCGCATGCGCCGCTCGCCTCTCCTCCCACCATCGGCGAGCGCTCGCAGTGCTGTACCGCTGCACCATGAAACCACGATTCTCTGATTCAAATTAGAAACATCGCTTTTTCTTTATTAGAAATTTATTTATTGGAAATAATGTTATTTAAAAAGTCGATATTTATAAAATCTGAAATATTAGTAATTCTTGATGATTTAATGAAGCACGTTAGATACATTTAAGCCATTACATTAAATATTAAATTTTTATTAATTTGTGCGATATATTGCTTTGTATTTTTGGACGAAAATTATTAATTTATCACGAAGGAAATAAAAATGACGGTATTGGAAGTTTATAGTAACGGTAAAATTATAACGAAGCTTCCAATTTTTTTCAGCTTTGTAATTTTTTAAAAAGTTACGCACAAATACCTAAGAAATAAACAAAACAAATGTGTTTCTTCAGCAATTGTAATATAATTCTTTCAAACGTTAGAAATTGGAAACGAACGATGTTGCTAATAATATTGTCATACGGCCCTGTACTATTTTGCTTCAGGACAGTAAAAAGTATTCACGGTGCCCTTCTCCTGCGACGAGCAAACCCCATAGAGAGCATGATGTGTGTTAAGAAATAAAATTTTTTCTTTCGAAAGTCTGTCACTTATTTTTTAACGAAACATGTATCTCCCCATGTGATTCATCCCGTCCAATTAACGAAACTTTAGCTAGCTGAACTTTGCGCCGAATTGCCTTTTACATGCCATACACGCGGTATAGATACACCACTATTACACATACTTTTCGGATGCATTCTTTTTCCATAATACAATGGAGATAGCTTGGAAGAATCAATTACTAACCATTACTTCTCATAGAAACATTTTCCATGTTTTAGGGTCAATTATGCGTGCTGATTGGAATAAATTTGATAAATGCAATTACTCTAACGTAAGTATGAGATGATAGTTGAGGAATGTACTGCTCAAATTGAATTTAATCAATATGCTTTTAAAAGTAATATTAACCTTGTTCTACTGTTTAATCTATGTTATATGTGTATGTAATTCTTCAATATTCGGTACATTATATATACACATGTACATGTATTTGTAATATATGTATATACCTAAAAGTATGAAAAGTTAAAAAAAAATATTACTGATAATCAACCACAAGATGACAACAGAATATCTGTGACTTTTCTGATTTCTTTGATAAATACTTGATGAAGCTTGAATAAAGGAATTTGACTTGTAGTTAGATCACAATGATAATAAGGAATATATTTAAAAACTTTTATATTTTAATAGTAAAATTAGAATAAAATACAATTTTTATTTTTCATATAACAGTAGTTTAGTAAACTACAGATATACTACAAAATAAATTGGTCTTCCATCAACTGGGATATTAATCTGTGGATCCCTTTGATAATTTTATCGTTGAAGAGAAAATAAGTGATACAAATACGACAAAATTCCATTAATTGCAGAACTTATAATACTGAACGGAGGCAGATGAGAGAGGAAGACAGGGAGAGGCAAGCGAGAGCCCAGAACAACTAGAAGTCAAAATTATATCACGAATATTACGAAACAATAATTCGTAACAATTTTAGCTACAATATAATGACGTGTTGCAAACGAGGTCGAGCTCTACTTTTCACGAGCACGGAAGTATACAGCTTAGTCGGCCTAGTGCACTGAGTTTTCATGCCGTGTTGCAGTGGCACGAAAACGACAAAAACCGACTAGCATGTACGTAACAAAGGGAACCGAAGCAAAAGAGGCAGAGAAAGAAAGAAAAGAAACGAAGACCGGAAGCGAATGCTAACTTGCCGGAGAAAGGAAATCATGCCACGAACATTTCAGGAATTTGACAGGAGCGGCCGTGAACTTGATTATTCGCCGACCCGCGCGTTGTTTAAACTTTCTTTGGTCTATAAACTCCTGTAACTTTAACAAAAGAATCCTGCAATCCGATACAAGAGCAGAACGGCTCGAAAAAGTTGGTTCAATGAAAATTGGGAAATATGATCGGGAACGAGACGTAATTCAAAAGTTCAATAATGTGATTTAATGAACTGCAACGGGCAATACTTCATCGAGCATATGTAGTAAGCAATTCGAATCGCGACGTAATAGGTAAACGAAGTCCATTCAAGCGGACCACACGTATACATCTTCGATATTAGCTCACTACCACTGTCAATATTATTGCGCAACTCAGAGCGCTCCATATTGAACGTTTAGGGCGTTCTTCAAACTGATACGAAATTGAGAAATGTTACACCTTGATTCGCTCTTGCAAAAATAGCGATCGATTACGTCTTACGGTACAAAGATACGAAGGGCAAGTTGGTAAAAGCAAGTAACAGTTATTCATACAGCTTCGAATAGCACTTTTTGGAAGATCTCAATGTTCTGAATTTTTAAATGTCATCGTAATTATAAGTTGTGTTAATTGAACTATTCATAGGCAACGTCGTACGGATGACACTATTTCGGGCAACGTGTTCTAGAAATCTCCTTCACATCCAAAACTCCAAATTTTGATTACGCCTACAAGAAACATGTCGGCTACAATTATATTTATGTATTCTTTTATCTTGCTATTTATGATCTTATATTAATCTTATATTAATCTTAAAACTTTTATGTTATTTATTATCAGCTAAGAAAACAAACTGTTTAGCAAAATAATAAAATAATTTTTATAACCACTGTAAATAATGCAAAATAATTTGTGAAATAACATTAAGAAATTAAACTTAACTCAATTACAATTAGTTATTCGCAGTTAACATAGATATTCAACATAGCAAATGTAAAAACATGGTGTTGTATAGCTGTAATATGAAATCTATCATAGTGTGTGATATAACTTTTACACTTTTAATATGCACGTAAAAAGCAAATTCACGAAATTTATTTCAATATAAATTAACGTACTTACGTACGTAATATACGTACGAAATTATAAATTGAAATATATGCAACATAAATTATAGAATGCCACAACATTTGAATTATATGTACATAAAAAATGATTACATATATTATAATACGTATTTATGAAGCACTGTATTTCTTTGTATAGTATGTCAAGAGAAATTAAATTATACTGAATGCAACTATTGCATTTAGAACCACTCAAAAAAGTAAACTGTAATTTTATTATTTTGTACAATATGGACAAATAGTCTTAACCAAATTAACAAATAATTGTCATCTTTACATTCAACATCCTGTTTCTTTTTATTAATATAAAATTATTTCGTCATTATTGAATAATTTGTAGAAACTAAATTATTTAATATTACATGTGTGTGTGTATATATGTATAGATATTATTTATATTTTATTTACTGTATTCAAGTTGAAATAATTTGAACATGATCAACTTAACTGAATCTCACGCAAAAATGTAATTCTACGGATTTAGTTCTCTAACATTGAAGCAAACAACAAAAACCGAGAAAAAGAAGAATTGTTAGAAATATCGATTCTTCGAGTATTTAACAAAGATGGACAGACGAGAATCCCATGAGAAAGAGAAGGATCATTGAAACGAACCGCATAGTACGATGATAATAACAATAATAAAGAAAACGGTTGTCGAGAAGGGAGAAGCGCAGGGTCGTAGCAAGATAGCTGGCGCTCGCGTAGGGTACCGATCAGCTGGTATGCGCGGTGTTACGGTAGACAGCAGAACAGAACAAGCTCCCTAAAAGTGACACAAGTTTTCACGGGTAAGCGAACCAAAAAAAACTATTCTTACCATTTGCGACGTGCCTTACATAATGTTCGTCCTCGTGCACGTGCAGTTTGACATAGTGCGGCTGGAAGTGGAGAAACGTTCGACTACCACCTATTTTACGACGTCATTGTTGAATGAAAATGTATCTGTATTCAAACAGAAAATGGGATGCTCGTCACCAACTACTCTCTTTCGTCGAGACTAGTCGATAATTACCCAAAATCGAGAAACGTCAGTTCCAAGTCACTCAAAAACACGAACACACGAGTATCTCGCCGTGACGTCACGTGAACAAAAGTTGATAAAAGATAACAAGAATGCGCGAGATAAAACGGGCACGTTCGTACACTTATAGGTACACGAAACTACATGTAATCGATGCGCGTTGTACGTACAGTACAGTAATAGATTAGGTTATGCCGCGTTTTCGTGGACGCGGGGCCCGCGAAAATAAGGATACGCACATGCAGGATCGGCTATCGGATCTTACCAATCGAAACCGGCTGGCCTATGTGTTTAATAATAATATATTGATTGATGGATCGAATTCGGCATTGTCTGTTAATTTTCTATTATAATTCATGAGGACTGCGTATGCCTTTTAAAGTCTCGTTCGAGTGTCAAACGTGCCGTTCGATGTCATAGTGTCAAATAATCGATACACACGTCTCAATTTGAACGTTTTATACCATACACCGCATTGAGATATAAAATATTCTGAGTTTCACTGGCAATCACGGTTTTTTATTTGTTTTCAGTGATTTTTGTGCAATTTCTTCTGCTGTTTTCTTTTTTTTTTTTTTTTGTTTTATTAAATATAACTTCGTAGATAAGAGCTGTACTTATAAAGAGTAAACAAAATGATCTTATTAATGTATTGGCTACAGCGTGTAGAATATTGTATCTTACATTTTTGTTGCATTCGTAATATATCGTATTTAATATTATTCTATTGATATTTTCTTCAATTTGACTTATATACACATTGAAATTTGTATTATAAATGAAGTTTATTTAAAATTTTAAATCAACATTTGAAACTCCGAAATAAGTTTTATCAAAGGAAATACAGTCATGAAACAGTCAATTTTCATACAACACTCCTTAAACGATAATTATAAACTCCATCGTGAACAATATTACGAGATAGTACTTTTATTCATTACACAGTATTATGGTTATTTACACCCATACCAACTCACATCTGTGTTTATAAATATGATCTGTGTTGATTTGATCTTGTGCTTTATATTCTTTGTAATAAAGATTTATGATAAAATTAAATTAAATTAAAAATTCTAAAAGTAATTAATCTAACGCTAAAATTGTTATAGTGGTGACCTAATGATACAAGTTAGGAGTTCAGAATCTCACCAACTTCTTTGTATCTACGATTTTCTTTCCTTTTGATATTGTTAATATTGTTAATGTGTGTTTTAAATATCAGTTTAATCGATTTTATTTCATATTCATTGTCAAAGATTGAAACCACAGTATATCCCTCGAAAATGAGGGAGGAGAGACTGGATGTAGATCAACCTTTATGGGATCTTAGCACTTTCGCAGGCAGATGGAAGCATTTCGCTTGGCAAACCGATTTTCGCACTTGTACTGTCAGTAATTCCGAGTTGCTAGAGGCAAAGAAACTACTCGAGGACTATAAGTGAGTATGAATTAATTTTGCTTAGCCACAAGATCAGTTACTGAATTATTATGTGAACATAAAAATTATCAAAATTAAATGATCTGTTACGTGTGGAAATGAAAGATTTGTATACAGTAATATAAGTTTCAATTTATATATCAGAAATTTTAATATATTATGAATGATAACGTAAGTAATTGTCGAAGAAAATTGCCATTTCAAGATCTTTTGTCCTTTTTTCATAATTGAGAAGTATAGTATGTGTAAATAGTATAGCAATATTAAAAACTTATAAATATTGTATTATTCAATCGTATTATGTTTGTCATAATAATGTATGTAAATAAGTTCAAATTAAACTTATTAGGAAAGTGTAGATTTACCATCGTCGTTATCTTTGAAGAACATATTAAAATTTTCAATATTACATGGTAATTTCTTACAGAATATTTTTTTCGGCATCATTAATTAATGATGAAATTAACAGAATATGATTTCAAGTCCTATGTAATTTGAGAACATCTTTTCTTAATATCCTTATCACATTCGAAGAAACACTGTTGCATAACGACCGTTATCGTTAAATATAATTTACGATGTTAAGTGTTTCAAGGATAAAACGGTATAATTGTATTATAACAAAATCGTTATTCATAAATAACAATCATCTAACAAACGAAATTATTATAGACAAAAATATTTTATCAAATGCTACATTTAAAACATACTCATTTTAAATTGCCATAATGTGCGTACTTATAAAAAGACATTGGGAATCATTTTAATTTATGATTTAATCAGTTCAAGAATATATTCATAAAAAAACTAAATCAAATAACAAAAAAAAGTTACAGGAGAGCCAGTGCAAATGATTAAATTTTCATTTTTTTCAATTGAAATTTTATAATTTTAAATATCGAAATGATCTCGAAAATAGTTGTCACTCCGTATATATAGCGTTCTATTTATAGAGACTAATCTTGAAAATTCTTTCACGTTTTCGTATTTCGCTTTTTTTCCACGGAATTCTAATATTCAACTTTTTTTTCAACCCTATAAGTATGTATTTTATTTCGTCTAATTCAGTTACATAAATTTTCTCCGTTATATTCCTGGTATATATGTATACATATATAATATATAATAATTTCGTATAAAGATATTATTATAAGAAATAGAACATATTTTCCAGATGCATTTGAAGCATCTATTCTTACACATTTTACTTAGCTTTTCAAATGAAACATTACGATACAGGTAACTAATCGTACATGCAACTTATGCAAGTATACATGAATGAAATTTTAACCTCGTAACAGGTCATCGAGCGATTTATATTCGTATCATATCGCAGAAAGAAAGGAAATAAAAATCTGCGACTCACTACAGACGTTGCAAATATTTTTAATGATATCTTTCTTTCTTTTTCCTTTTTAACGAATAAACAGTGTCAATTGATTAGTTATGTATAATTTAAAAATTGATCAAAATAAGTCAGACGAATAAAGGAAATTTGTAGAAAAAAAAAAAAAATGAGAGTAGTTTGGATTTTTCCTCTTGTCTTACTGTGAATTATCGTTTTAATTACGTTCTATCTAATTGTCGTAATTTTTTTGAGATATATTTGACAACATTGGAATTCGTAAATTTCAGAATTCATAAATTCATAAACGCACCCTTGTTACTCGTTGTTTTTTTTTTTTTTTTTTTTTTTTTTTTCTTTACGTCTACGAAAAATCAATAATCTGTTTATCCCTTAGACTTGGGAAAGAGCCAGCTGGTACAACCCGGGAGCAAGTTGTCTATGCTAAGAAGCTTTACGAGTCGGCCTTTCATCCCGACACCGGTGACCTGCAAAATGTCTTCGGTAGAATGTCCTTCCAAGTGCCAGGTGGAATGCTTATTACCGGTGCCATGCTTCAGTTTTACAAGTGAATTGTCTTTCTGTATATTTTCCATCTTAAACTACGCCATTGTAAAAAAAAAAAATTATAATTCCTTGAAACGCCAAAGAATTCAAAAGTTCGTTCGACAAGGGTTTGTTTTCGTTAGAAGTAAGGCTGAAGAGATTACTATATTGGAGAGATTATTATAAGCGTAAAACTAACGATTAATCGTACAAAAATATCACTTATTTCTTTGTAACAAGCAGCAGATGCGTTCGCGGTTTTTTGTTTAAAAGTACATACTGTCGGCTTTGTAGAGTTTATTTAAAAAAAAAAAAATTTGGATAGAGGAGACAATGTTTATTCAAAACAATTGTTGCAGAACGACTACAGCTGTGGTTTTTTGGCAATGGGTGAACCAGTCGTTCAATGCGTTGGTTAATTACACGAACAGAAATGCCAACAGCCCTACAACCGTGTCTCAATTAGGGGTGGCATACTTCAGTGCTACTTCAGCGGCTATGATAACGGCTATAGGATGCAAATCATTTTGGGCAAAACGGGCGAGCCCTCTTATGGCGGTAAAGTCACATTTTTAATTCTGGACAACTAAATTAAAACTGTCATTAATACTTGCATAACGAGTTGAGATTCTGTCTCGTAGAATATATAAAAGTTTAACGGTCTAACGTAAAGTTTAATTATTTAATAGCGTTATGTGCCATTTGCTGCCGTGGCGGCTGCAAATTGTGTGAACATTCCCCTGATGCGACAGAACGAAATCACCAGTGGAATTGACATCAGCGATGAGAACGGCAATAAATTGACCAAGTCAAAAGTAGGTGTATTCAGTGTTCGTTGCGGAATAAAATTATATCACTGAAGAGAAGTAAATGCACGAACCGTTTTAGCTCGCAGCAGTTAAAGGCATTAGTCAAGTAGTCATCTCGAGAATCGTTATGTGCGCACCTGGCATGTGTAAGTAGACATTAAATAAAATGTAGTACGTAAGATAATGAAATACACAAATTTACACGATTTAGTGATCCTCCCACCTATTATGGAAAGACTAGAAAAATACGCTTGGATGCAGAAGATCAAATTTTTGCACGCACCTATACAAGTTATGTTAGTTGGTTGTTTGTAAGTATTCTTTAAATTCATCATTCTTACATCTTCTACAAGTAGTAATATTATAGTAATTTAAATAAAAAATGATACTCAATATTTTAGTCTGACGTTCATGGTTCCTACGGCGTGTGCATTATTCCCACAAAACTGGTGAATTTTTATATATTTTACTAACGTAAAAATTAACATGAATTAATAATAATTGATATAGTATACAGACAAGGATTCACATAGTTCACATGCATATATATTTTGTATATATTTTATAGCTCAATTAAATCTAGTACTTTGGAACGCTGGGAACCTGAGAATTACGAACTCTTAAAGAAGAATTGCGAAATCAAGAAAATACCCACATACTTATATTTCAACAAAGGTTTATAATTAATGAACGCTGTAGTCGTGATAAAAGATCATCAAGGGTGCTCTTTTTCATCGTCCTGCATAAGATAATAAAGTGATTAATAACTAAATTGAACAAATTTTCGCCTACAATAAGTCATCAGGAATATTTGTAGTTTCCTGCTGGTCCAGAGAATGAAGAAAGCTTGTTCTAAGGACAAGAAATACGACAATATCATATTACAAATTATTTTTATCCTATATAGCAATACGTTTTGTTTGTAAGATTTATTATGTATCTAAGTGATATGTCGGTGTAAATTATTATTCATTATGTATTTTCATCAATAATGATTAGGATTAATGATGATTCCTCTTGCAATAGGAATAACATTAGTAAAAACATTAATAACTACCTTTTTGCACGCAAAATATTTCGGACGATAATAATTTGTTTTTACTGAACGCTCAATCGTTTTACTTTAATTAAACTAGATAAACAATATTTCTTTAAAGAGTGTTTAGATGATTAATATATATTGTCTATATTTCAAGATTCTCAACATTATTATACGCAGAGAACAATTAATATATTGATCATCTGAGGATTCCTTACTTACGAGAATGTTGAGAACTCTGAAATATAAACAATATATATCAATCATTTTAACTCTGTAATAATTTATACTATGTTTTAATATCATATATTGTTAAATCTCTGATTTTAGATTTTAAAATCATGTCGACGTTACTAATTGTTACTACCTCCTTGAACTGTTAACAAAAGAAAAAGGTACCATGTATATTTTAGTAATATTACAATAAACTTGGAAACTGAATTTCAATGAATTTGTCTTATTCTGATCATAAATTATAATCGATTACATAATAGCAGTAACCCTAATACAGTGAATATAAAAAATAGTGTAATTCGATATATATACATATATATATATATAAAACATAAAAAGCTATATATTTGGCCGTGAATGCGTGGGTTGAGTTTGTTGCGGCATATAACCAATGCGTTCTTGAATTTCATTTTGCGGCACTTTACCACCCCACGTGGGAGGGCTGAATGTTGTTGGTGGTCTTTCTGATTCTTTTTTAGCTTCAAGAGCTTTTCTCATTGCCTCATATTCTTCCAGATCGTCTAGTCGTAAATCGAGTCTCGTCGGACTGCGTCGTATCATTTTACTAAAAAAAAGTTAACGCATTTTCTTTTAGTAAATAAAAGTCCTATCCTATCGCACGTAGATCGATATATGCGGAATCGTTAATAAATAAAAGCTAAGCGAATGAAATCCTATTTTCTTCAATTCTTAATACCACATAATTGTCTTCGATGTATTTATGAAATAATGTTTTATTTTCAAATATTATTATACATTTTTAAATTCTTCCAGTTCGGAATAGTATCAAAACTATTTCAAATTTTGATAGATTTGAGAACATCTTTTAACGTTACAATTATAAGATTAATCAAGGTTTTCTCTTAGATGAATTTAGAAAATAACAAATTATTTTACACGTCACGCGTACAATACATACAGAATAAACTTAAATTTGCAATTATTGCTAAAAGTAAAATTATGCATTGCTAAAAATGAGATAAAATTTAAAAAACAAAGTTAATATAATCATAAAACTGGCTTAATGAAAAGGAATATTTGAAGTTTAAATCGGAAGAAATGTTTTCATTGAAAAACAAGAATGTGAAATTCATATTGTACACGGGGCACAGAATCACATAAACACACCTCTGAACGTCAGGTTAAGATGGCGGATTACGAGGAATAGATAACTGGCCAGTAATAATACTGAAATAAATAACACTTTTAAGAATGCATTGATTACTGGGCCATTTATATTCGTGAAAATGATATTTTTCCTACGACATTTCATACGAATCGTTCATAGATTCGCATCATTTACACTACTAACATGAAAATGTGGGTACAACAAGCGATTTGGCCGCCGTAAACACGCTTCCGATCGAGTGCTACAATTTTCGTTAATTTTGCCACGGCGGCAAGCACTCATCCTTAATAAATTGTAAATAATTGTAAATTAAGCACCAGGCAACGAAGCGCCAGCACGAAAGGATGCTTTACTTGGAAGATTATGTCGAAAGTACGTAAAAACGAGGCACGCTCTGCTTACCCAGCTTCTCAAGAAAGTTACTAACTTTTCCGAATATACTCTCTTGCACAAACATAAGAAACGTTTCTTAAAGCGAATATCTCAATAGATACTGCATTATTATGTATAATCGTTTAAATGTTGCCTTTTATTTCACTATTCGAATGAAATATCTCATAATAGGAGCAATTACTTGACATACTGTTCTCTGTAAATTGGAGGTTAGTTACATGTTATCTGAATAGTGTATAGCTTCCCCACTCTATCCATTATATTTTAGGAGTTAAACCTTTACTTATAATAGTTGTAAATAAAATGCGAACATTGTAATTATGATGTTAATTAGATAAATGCTGTTTATTCTCCAATATTTGATCCCTTTCATTTTGGTTTTGTTTGGTTATGTTAACCTTTTCCTTTGGTTTTCAGTGATCGAGCATCTACCACAAGAATTAAGAGACCGGTTTACAGAAATGAGAGAAATGGACTTAGGTGTACAGAGTATGTACAGTCTATCACACAATATATTGGTTTGTTATTTATGAATTTTATTAATAGATGCTCCAATTGTTATAGATTCAATGGACAGTTTAGAAAAAAAAGTAAAGATTTTCTTTGCAAATGCAAAGAAGATGAAACCTAGTGAAAAGGAAGCAGAATATGAAGCCATTAGAAGAGAGTATTACAAAACTCTAGAAGATGCCGATGAGAAAGTGCATTTAGCTAATCAGATGTATGATTTAGTAGATAGATATTTGAGAAGATTAGACCAGGAATTGCACAAATTTAAAATGGAACTAGAAGCAGATAATAAAGGTATTACCGAAATACTGGAAAAAAGGTCATTGGAACTAGATCAACCACCTACGAATAGTAGTCAAAAAGAGAATCGGTATAGTTTTACAACATCCAGTAGGTCACGAGACAATCATAGTCATTGTAAGTATCTCCTTGCTTTAATTACATTTTATTCAATGCGAAAAACAATAAGAATTTCTAATAAATTAAAAAAATCGTAATAAAAATTTGTGTAGCTCGAACAGAAAAAAGGAGAGATTCAAACGCATCATCGACATCAATAGAGAAACGCTTAGCTATAGAAAAAATTTCTCCAAGTCTTCCTGAATCACGACCGGCTTCTGCAAATTCAGGACCAATTCTTGCTGCAACTAGCGTGCCATCTACTCCTACAGCAATTGCAAATTCCGTTGGTTCTGTGAGTTATAATCTCGGTCACATAGGAGCTGGTGGAAATGCTATAGCAGCTGCAGCATCGCAAGCAATTGCTGCGACGCAGCAAATGCAGCAAGGCAGACGTACTGCTAGTTTAAAAGCTAGTTACGAAGCCATCAACACTGGTGGTGTACACGCAGCCGAATTTAGTAGAGAATTAGCTGGCGCTGCCCAGACTGCTATTGCAGCTATACAACAGGAAACAACTAAAAAGCATAAAAAGTATGCATCTACTGGAAGACCTCTGCAATATTTATGAAAATTTTCGCTTTTTCGCTTCGAATGACCGTTATTGCTCATTTTAGGAAAGTAACAACTGCTGTCCCAAGTTCGAGTGTAGTTGCTGCCTCTGTTCAACAACCTGTATCACCTCCAGTTATAACTACAAATACACAAGTCGTAGATTCAGATAATCCAGATTGGACTTATGATCCAAATGAACCAAGATATTGCATATGTAACCAAGTATCTTATGGTGATATGGTTGCGTGTGACAATTCAGATGTAAGCTAAATTTTTCTTCCTTATCTTTCCATATGAAATCAAGTCAAGTCATATTTATATTTATTAAATATTTTTCTTTTGCTACTGGTTTTTTACAGTGTCCGTTTGAATGGTTTCATTATCCATGTGTTGGTATCACTGCACCTCCAAAAGGAAAGTGGTACTGTCCTCAATGTACATCTTCTATGAAGAGACGCGGAGGTCGGAAAAACTGATTGTGCTGTAATCAGTACAAATATAATGAGAAAAAATTGATACTACCTCTTAGGCATTGTCCGTCAAGTACCAACTTAGTTAGGAAGCTATTAATTCTGATTTTATATGAATTTTTAAATATGTTTAAAGTTTAAGTCGTGATCTTATCTGGTCTTGATCTTGTCCCACAAAACTTGAATTTCTGTTTCTACAGCAGAAAAGGGCAGTTTTTTTACTACATTTTGTAAACGTAACGAGAGGATCAGACGGTGCAAAAAAATTCTGGATAAATTCGTTTTACAAGAGAATTTTTTGCATACAAGTATCGCACCACTTGTGCACCACTCTTTACCGCGACCATATTAGGTAGTTTCTACGAATTTACATTGAAAAGTAATCTTCTTCTCTGGTAATACGTAATTTATGGACTGAAATTCCAGAAGTGATTTTCACTGTGAATTTTTCAAAATTTATGTCTTTAGTTTTCGCAATATCGATCAATCTTCGTATATTTACGTCCTCGTGTTAGTACAGACGTGCTTAGTATCTCGCTGAATTGATGACTAGGCGAGCAATAACATTTTAAGTGTTCTACGCTTTTGAGAGAAAGAAAGAGAGAAAGAGAGACAAGAAAGCGTTAAAAGGAAAGAGAAAGAATGTATGTGTGCATGTGTGTATATGCAAGAGAGAGAGAGGGGGGGGGGGGGAGAAAGAGAGAACCGACGGTAAATTGTGAGAATACTACTTTCAAATTGAAGGAATGTAGCAATTTGATGTATAAATAAAGCGAATGATGCAGACTTGTTATTTGTATTACCATCATTCATAAAAATATTTCTCATTTTCTTTAATTATTACAATTAATATCTCTTATTTGACTATGTCTTATTCTAAAATTATTCTTATGTTATGAAAGTAGTTCATTGATTCAACAATTCGAATATCTTATCTATATTTCTGAGTCATTTCCAGCGTTGCCTCGGTCCAATTAACTAGCGATTTAGTTAATAATGAATTAAACACAAAGACATGTTCAATTTATTGAAATATCTTAATCTTCAGAAAGGATGTCATTATGAAATAATTTAATTTCCACGCTAATAGGGAGAAATATAATTGCAGGTCGTAATTCTCACATTTATAAGTTTGTTACAAACATTTTTATTACATTCAAATTTTTATTACATTGTTAGAACCAGAACATAAAAAAGAAAATTAAAGGGAAAAACCAGTGTAATTATGATATGAATCATAGAACTACCGAGAACCGTAATTATTGTTGACCTTCTTCATCTCGGAGAATATCTAACTTTGCCTCTTGTTCCACTTTGAACATTTTATTGTAAAAAGTGAGTAACGCTGCGACATTCCATGTCATACGTAAATGAAGGCGTGATTATGATCGGAAGCAATTTACGGCAAATTATTTCGCAATTTACATTTACAAAAGACTATTGCTCCTCTATCTGTGAAAGGTCGCACATTATTTTCGTTCCAAAAGAATGTACGAGTTAATGTGCTTTTGTGAAACGCGTTGCAAGGCATCCTCGTTGTATATAAATCAAGGAGGCTTGTCGGCTCAAAATCTTAGTCTTCTTCAACTTCGCGCATTTTCATTAAATACCACAGAGGATATTTCTGATATTCAATTATGTCACGTATACTATTTGCAGTCTTCTTCATCGCAAGCACTTTAAAAAACCCCGTACGAAGTGCAATATCTTTTGGCAATAACACGGCTACGTCAAGTATGTAAAAAATTTTTTGAAAAAATTGAGAAATTTAAATCATTTTTTAAATCCTTCCCGCGATAAAAAGAATATTTCAATTACTGATCTCACCGTAAACTCCTTTACTTCCGATTTTATTATTATTCTGTAATTTTCTTTTTAAAGAAAGAATGTATGTATAGTATATTGAAGTATATTTAATATAAAATTTATAGCATAATATATGCCAAATATATGATATTACTTCTAGAAAGAATCTGTTTAAGTTGAGTATTTTATTACAAACTTTTAAAGATTTTATATTTAAGGTCAAAACGGCGCTATGACTAACAGCAATTCGTGTTGTTTTCCAAAGGGCAATTGTCCATCCGGGAATACGGGGCTCGATATTCGAATTGTTAATAATGTATGTATAAATAATTTACTTAACACTTTAGTAATTTTTTCAAAAAAATACATTGTTTTATTTCTAATTATTTGAGGTTTCGAATTGTTCCGCTGGACAAGTAGACTGCTGTAAAGAAGATCAGATCGACTATAGTTGCGGTATCAGAAAAATTCCAGAATCTGCACATCCTCAAGGTCAAGCCAGTTACGGTGCATACCCCTGGCAAGCTTTACTTTTAACACCCAACGACGTTTATGCTGGTTCAGGCGTACTTATTACTCCTAATCATGTGTTAACGGTCGCTCACAAAGTAGCATCTTACACGTAAATAATTTAAATTTATATTTTACTTTAATTCTCAAAATATGGATATTATTTATCTCTCTTTATTTCTTTTATATTTTACTTTTTAATAAGATCAATTAAATGAAAACAAATGTCTTTTGTAGAAATGGCGGGCTTAAAGTGAGACTGGGGGAATGGGATGTGCAATCCACTACTGAGACTTATGCAGTGCAAGACTATTCAATTAAAAAAATATCTATACATCCTGGATATAATTCTGCCAATCTTCAAAATGATATAGCAATAATAGTTTTGAGCGGTACTGTTCCAGTTGCAAACAGTCTCAATATAAACACTGCGTGTTTTCCAACAGGATTACCCGCAGCTTCTACAAGGTAGGCAGAAAATTTACACTGAACATTGTGTGAGTTTTATTCAATTGTCATAACTTTATATATTTCTTTATATATTCTTTAAGATGTTGGGTATCAGGTTGGGGAAAAGATGCATTTGGCACAAATGGCAAATATCAAAGTATAATGAAAGAAGTAGATGTACCAATTATTGATCAATCAACCTGTGAAAGTGCTCTCCGAAAAACTAGACTTGGCCAATTCTTTATGCTGAATAAAAGCAGTTTCATATGTGCAGGAGGGGAACAAGGAAAAGATGCATGTACAGTAAGTGTTATAATGTTCAAACTTGATTTTTAGTTATTGTTCATATTATTTAGATAATGATATATGATTTTATAAATTTACTTATATTTTATTAGCACTTATTTTGATTAAAATTCTTTTCTTAGGGTGATGGTGGTTCACCATTGGTATGTCAGTCTGGTAATCAGTGGCAAGTGGTTGGAATGGTTGCATGGGGTATTGGTTGTGCAACTAGCAATGTTCCTGGTGTATATGTCAATGTATATAATTATATTCCATGGATTACACAACAAATAACTCAGAAATGATTATACAAAGTAATATGCGACAATTTAAAATATATTACATACACATAGTATTTATATTGTAATACTAATTACTTGTATGATATTTCTATAACCACACCTAAAATCATATATTAATAATTTAAAGATTTTAATTTACTACATATTTAAAGTTGTAATAAATACGTAAAACATAGAGCTCTTTCTAACATATATGTAATAAAATGATTTCGGTTAGTTACTAACATTTTGGTATTGACAATACTCTAATGGGTTTCAAAAATCATATTCCTGGCGCATTCACAACTTGACCAACCTCGATCGTTTCATTTGATGTAATTCCCCAATTCACCGTTGTTTAAACGTAGAGTGCACTATAAAACCAGTGATTTTTTTTTACTATGTCGGTACTTCAGATCCTCGTAAAGTGCACTAAAAAACCAGTGATTTTTTTTTACTATGTCGGTACTTCAGATCCTCGTAAAGTGCACTAAAAAACCAGTGATTTTTTTTTTACTATGTCGGTACTTCAGATCCTCGGCCACGAAAACCCGTAAGATGCTTGGTCTATTCATATATCTCGTCTGTGGCGTACAGTGTCCTAAAAAACCAGTGATGTTTAGTCGGTATTTCAGGTCACGGGCCACGGAAGTCCGTAAGATGCAATGTCTATTCATATATTTCATCTGTGCTCGGAGACACAAAGCCTCATTTTATGTACGGTCTATCCTATTCTTAGTCAATGATTGTATGTGAGGTCTATTCATATACCTCATCTATGGTATACTTTTAGACTTATTTTTTCAATGTAATGACACTTTACAATGTATAAGTATATTTATTTAAATATATTTATATGTAAATTACTAATTGTAGATATGTTACTAAAATATATGATAATTTTATCATCATGTATCCAGTACTCTAAATTTTATGCGTAAAATAAGTTTGACGTATCTTTAACAAAATAAAATGATTTTATTCCTTCGATAAATAATTATTTTGTTGATAAACTAATTAAAAATCGAAATGTATTTGATGATGATTAAAGAGACAAGAAAATAACATGTAGATATACGTTCTAAATGAAGCTTGATTCATGAAAACTGTAAAGTACATTTTACGTTTACGTAAATATGTAAATTGTAGATAGGGAGCTTATCGTATTTGACGTTTGTGAAAGAAGAACTGGTTGTTTACAATTTGCCGAGATCTCAAAAGTTCGTACGAATAGGTAGATGTGACAATGGACGCCAACATAGACGATGACGGAACATACAACGAATTAGGTATATTTCTTGATATAGTGTGTATTTAAATATATTGAATTGGAATCTTTAAAAAATTACAGGTTATGTATCGAGTTTTCCACATATTGTTTTTCCAAATGTAGAGTGGCTTAGATATTTTTATACATCTGATATGTGTAATATTATTATTACGTGAAATCATTGTATATAAACTCTTTGTATATACGAATGACTTTTTAGTTAAAAAAACGAAAGCAAGGAATAAAATATCTATTTTTCAGAATATCCGGAGAATAGACAAAACAATGCCGAGGAGGATTATTCAGAAGAAAATACAGACGAAACATCTGTCTCTACCGAAAGTACTTTTGACTTGACATTACCAGCGACACATTCTGTAAATTTTTAATACATGTTCATAGATATATTTATAATTATATGATGTTTATGCTTAGTTTTACTTGTAATCCAAAGAGAAAGATGTTATTTTATAATATGAGAGTGTATTTTATTAGTATTTAGGACATAATTTAGAAGAACTCAGAGGAAGGACAATATTAGATGATGGACTTTATGTGAACTTGCCACTGCTAGTGAAACAGTCTGTCATGTTATTTCCTGGACAGACATTGCCAATGACAGTATTTGATGCACAAACTATTGATATGATAAGAACTTGCATTGAAAATGATCGAACATTGGGTGTTGTATGTTTGGGTTACGATAAAATGGTACCAATAGGTACAACTGCAGAAATTTATGAGTGTATGTATGATCCTGATCAAGGTTTTCGCCTGAAAGCTAAGGGCAGACAAAGATTTAAAATTCTCCGAGTTATAATTCAGGTAGGTATTAATACAAATCTTAATATCTATATACAGTATAATAGCTGATGATAACAAGTTAATAAAATTACAAATATAAAAATGAAAAATTTTCTTTTTTACTAAAGCCATATTTTTTTAAAATAAATTTCTTTTTATTTTTATACAGTTGTGATTCTTGTTGCAAGGGCATTTGGTTGTAAAGTCATGTATTTTTGAAGTAAGTAATTAACATATTTATTTCTATATTTAGGGTTATGATAAAATATCAGCTCATGTACAAGTCTTACCAGAAATAACGCTTGGACCACCATTCTTGGATGAACGTTTAGCTTCATTAGATCATATACGAATACATCCAAAAAATGAGGAAGATTTTAAGAAGCAAGAAAAAGTAGAAAATTTAGATGCTGTAGTAACACCTTGGCCAGCCTGGGTGTACCGACAATATGATCCTTTAAGACTTTCATTAAAAATACGACAACGTTTGCAATTTATCGAAAGCAGTATGTATTAGTAGAGAATTCTCATATAAAATTATCGCACATTTTAAATTAATATTGTCTGATTAATTATAGAGGGAAGTAGTATACCGGAAGATCCTGCAGATTTATCATTCTGGGTCGCCCAAAATTTGTTATTAGATGATAATGAACGAATCGTTTTGTTAAATTACGATTGTGCAATTTCAAGGTTACAAAGAGAAATTAGATATCTAGTAGAAGTGTGTAAAATTGACAAATCTTGTTAAAAAATTTTTTTAATTATATTTATTTTAGATCTTTATGGTTAATAGATCGTACTTTTCTTTCATAGGATAAAATATTTGTTTGTTGCAATTGCGACTCTTATATTGGAAGGCAATCACATATGTTTCCAATGAGTAAAGAAGGCCCGCAGGGTACCTATTGCAATCCTTCTGGGATTATACATGAAACCGTAACCTTGTATCATGCACAAGGTCTTGCACTGAGTGATAATCCACCATCAATAAATTATACATGGTTTCCAGGGTAATTTTATATATATATAACAATATATTTTTTATTGTATTTTTCTATTTTTTACATTAAATTACTTTGTATACGGACTTATTTCGTGACAGATACGCCTGGACTGTCGCAATGTGTAAATATTGCGGTGATCATATGGGATGGAAGTTTACAGCAGTTCAAAATAATTTAAAACCTAAGGCATTCTGGGGCTTGATACGTAAGAGTTTGAAAAGTAAAGAAAAATGAGCAAACCAAAAATTTAATGAATATATTAGACCGAAAGATTCGGTGATTAGTTTAAAAAACCCGGCGCATATTTCCAATAGTTTTTTTGGTGTTATATAACTATATACAATTGTTTGTATTGCCCTTGTGTTTAGCATATAACTATGTACAATTGTTTATGCTATTGTAAGCTTTCGATAGTGATAATATTAATTTTTTCAATGAATACGACATATTGAAATAATTATTCACTGTGAACTTTCGATTATCGACTGAAATACGGTATAAAAAAAAACTTCAATATTTATATGTATATAGAATTTAATTTAGCTGTATGAGAAACGAGATCGATAAAGAAAACTATATTTATTTCAAATTTGTATTGTTATATAATTTCAAAATGTAAATTAAATGGATTGAACCATTACAAAAAAAACTTTTATTTTTCAAAAGCAGTTTATTCTGCTTTGTTTGTTTTTTTATGGGTATCTGGGTAAGATTTCCCGATTTAAATTTTTTATGTAACTAGTCATTATGAGACATATACATCCATCTTCAATATTAATATCAATATAATAAGAATTTGTCAACATACCTTGCCTAAGAAATTCGCAAATAGTAACTAGATACAAATTTTTTACGATTTAATGTTCTCACTTAACACGATTAATAGCGATAAACCAGTGGCAGAAGTTGAATAGTATTGATTGTAATATTTACATGTTTTAATATTTACAGTTGTAAAATAAGTTTAACATCATGTCACCTCTCATTATTATACTGAACTTCAACAATTATATACAAGTTATAAACAAAGATATAATACATGTTATTGGGATATGATATTTTGTTATTTGTACATCAGAATTTAATAAATGTGAATTTAACGTGAAACGTAATTATTTACAAACTGTACGTTCTTTTATTATTTAAAAAAATATATTTTGAATATATTTAAAAATACAAAGATGAAATTGAAGGTAAGTATGTAGGAAAGTAGAAAAACTAAGTGATATTTGAAAGGAAAGGTATCATGAATTAAATTGCGTTTGTTCATTAATTTCTTGCGCATGTCGTATATTTCTCGATTATCTTAATTCAATTAAATTTGTTATAATTATATCTTTATCTCAATCATTCTCTTGTATATGTATCGTGTTTTCCTTAATCATGTTGAGTTAGCAGATATGTTTAACAATCTGCCAAAATTTAATCATTCGACGATAACATTTTGTATTATAGTACTATCATTCAGACATATTTCGTTATACGTATATCATAATCATTTTGTTTGTATTCGAGATTCGGATACGCTGACTCGTTTATATTCATTATTTTGACAGTTGCTCGTCGTTTCCTGAATCCTATGTATGCCTGATTATTATAAAATAATTCAATTTGAACATTCTTAATACGTTGTTAGCTGATTATACAAATGCGACGAAATATTTGCTATAAATTATATATTCGTCTGGCATAAACTTTGATATATGTATGTATTTTTAAACACATCAAAGTATTTTCTTACACTTTATTTTTTTGAAGCACAACTATCATAGTTCATCCTCTGTATACTCTTCATAGTCTATTTTGACGTTATATATTGAATAAGTTACATGAAACAAATAGATTTTTGAGTTTTCATATTTCAAAATTAGAGAAAAACAAGAGATTGTACGATATTTAACAGACAAATTGATGTCGACACTATATGATAATGTTAATTCGACGTAAAAAAATTGAAAGAAAAAAAAATGTATATTGAATGTGAATTTCAAGATGATAATCATGATTCAAGTTGCAGGAATTAATGACTTTTGATTACGATTTCAGATTTCAGATTATTCTTGATAAAAAAAAAGAGAAAAAAACAATAATAACAATTAAATTCTTTATGAGTTTTTACATTTTAGTTTTTTTATTAGCATGTATCTATTTGCGTATTTTCACAATAATAATACATATTTATGATACATATATAACAGAAATCCTTTGTCTAAGAGATAAACAGACAATATTCTGTTAAAAAATTTGTTCTAATGTTGCCAGTATATAAGCATTTTATAATATAAATGTAGTATGCATTATATTTTAAATAAAAAGACCCGTTAAGTATCATTAGTTTTTTTTTTTTGTAACATAATACCCTATTTTAAATTTAAACAAAAAATATATTAATACAGAAAAAAATAAGGGTTATGGATTTCCATTATGCGAAATTTCAGCTTAGTGTATGTCCATCTGAAAATGTTATTTACACAAAAAGCATTTCTTATGTTCGCTTAAATATTGTTTACTCGGATCCCAGTGATATATATACACAAAAATTTCAATTTAATATAATTATTATCGTAAGTATTTTATTTAATGTGTTAGTTATTAAATCATGATCATTGCCTTTGATATCTGTATCATCTTGACCTACATGAACTTAACCATCGTAAAATTGCCAGACTTGTAAATAGTTTGAATTTACTATAGATTAAATATGAGAATATTGTTGAAAACGTATAGGAGTATATTCGTCGCATATATTCGAAACTATTCATGAAAATTATATTTTTCAATACTTGTAATGGTAAATATTCGTTTTTATCCAATGAGGATAAAATGTTAAAATAAAATTAATTCAAAGATATAGATACGGGTCAGGAAAACGTACGTAACAGACTGTCGGGTTTTTGTATCATTGCTGACTTTCAACATGGATGTTTTATCACGTCAGTTGTACACTTCGTATATTCGTATTTATTTATAGATCTGTAATATAGACATTTAATGCATTTTATTATTTTATTCAATAAAAAGAATTCACTGGAGAAACTTACTTTCGATTTCCGATCCTGCTGAGATAAGTTTAGTGTGCGGCTGTGCAGTTGTGCTTGGTTGTTGATTACTCAATTGTCCTGTAGTCGCTGGTGCAGCAAAACCTGGAGGTGGTTGCATTGCCCAATGTTGAGTTGGTGCGTTCTGTTGTTCCTTACATAGAAAAGATGCAATATATTTTTTAATTTGTTTTGCATTTTCGAAAATAATGTATAATAAAAGAGATATCAGAGAAGTGTTCAATACCTGTTGCGCATTGTGTGATACAGTGTGTGGAGGATGAACATGTGGAAATTGCCATGTACTAGTAGTTTGGAATGGAAGAGGCCTAGAAGAACTAACAATGGCTGGATCAATCGAAGTCCAGTCTGCAATAGGTCCAAAATTGTTCCATCCGCCTTTTTGATGTAATGCTTGATGATGAAATTGTTGTTGTTGTTGTTGATTATTAATATCACACCAATCTTTAAGCGTATACATTGCATCTCCCGCGCATTTACTAATACCTATTTTAAGTATTAATTAAATTTCACGCATTAGTCATGAAAATGATACAAAATGTTCAAATAATGACTATTATTACAATATACCTTGGGAATTCAAAATTCCATTTGGAAGATAGGTATTTTGTTGTGGTGGTTGTGCTCCTGTAAACAGCACACTAGACGAATGACTCATGTATAATATTATATAGATTTTTTGTAAAGTCACAAGAATTCACTTTTATACTTGGATAACACTATTGCTCGCCACAAGTACATATTTGACATTAATTCATTATTTCCAATTTATATAATAGAAAACATCAGTTTTTTAAAGAGTTACAAAAAGTTTGTTATGTGTATTTTGTATAGATGAACAGAATAAACATAAAATATGTTTACCATCATCATAGATTACTGATGAAATTACGAAAATACTAACCCGAAAGAGCATTGTTCGTGGGAGCTGGTCGCGGTATACCAAGACCAAAAGAATTCATGTGATTTGGTGTAGAACCAGGGAAACCTGGTGGTGGAAGGCGACTACGTTGTCCCAAACTGGCAGTAGCCACAGTACTCTGAGCAGAACTTTGGGTACCACTTTGTAATAAATTTTGTGGAAGACGAGACAGCAAGGAATGAGACTGTTGAATAACTTGTAGATTCTGCAGATGTTGAGCCTGTTGTTGTAAATGTGCTATATGGGCAACCTACATAATAATAAGAAACAAATAATAACGTCTCATGTTTATTTTAAAGAATTAATAGTGTTAATAAGTTATTATTAAATTTTTCAAAGAAAATAAATAATCTACCTGTGGAAAATGTTGTTGACCAAGATTTGTAATATTTTGTTGATGTTGTACCCTATTTTGCTCTTCTCGTTCTCTTTGTTGCTGTTGTTGCTGCTGAAACCTCTGTTGCTGAATTTGCATTTCATTTTCCATAAGTTCGGCCAAAGCTTTTTGTGTTTCATGAAAGGGATCAAAACCTAAATCATCGTCAGCCTTTAAATCCGAACCAGATTCTTTATGATTTCTAACTTCTTCCAAAGTAGCATGACCATTTTGTTTTATGTATTCACAGTTTTCTTGATTTTGTTGTGCCTGAAAAAATAATAGTTATTTTTGTTATTAATTATATTTAGTAATATGAAGACAATATATATTTGATCAATTCTCTTATTAAATTATTGTGATTGAACATCTAATTTTATATGTAATTTCATATTACATGAATATGTAACATGCAAAAAATTATAACAAGTTAATACTTCAATAATATTTGAAATATTTTAATATTTCAAATAATTTACAAAATTATATTTATAATTTCATAAATTATTTACCTGCAGAGCAAGCCTTTGTTGCAATGAGTTTTGTTGAAAATCTGCCATGAATTTAGATGCAGGAGAATTAACAAGCAAACTTGATGTAAAAGTACTAGATGGTTCTGATAAAGTAGTATATTGTAGATTAGTGTAAACTTCTTCATCTACAAAACCCTCAGAATTGAATGTCACTCCTGGTGAACTAGAAGGGCTGGATTTTTGTACAACATGATTCGTTTGTGAAGTTTCAGGTTGAAAACCAAAAGCTGCTTGCCAATCTTCACTGGATTGAACCATTGGTAATGAGTCGGGAATAGAAGCTAAGCCTGTAGTTGTCCAATTTAGGTTTGCTACATGTCCAAAAAAATTAATTTTAACATTTTTTCATATTTGATTTCATATAAAATATAAAAGAACATAAAAGGAAAACAATTATAAAAACTTAATCAGTTTTTTTAATAACTCAAGTTTGATTATTAAAGTAAAAATTAATTTGCAAAAACTGCAACAGTAAAAAAAAAGATACTGTGTACATGCCTGTCAAAGAAGTAGGTGGCACTGAAGTGGTGGTAGAGATTTTCTGGAAAGTGTTTGAACTGAAGAAACTATTATTGTCTGTCTGAAAGATTGACCGATGATTGAATTGTATTTGGGACCCATTATGTAGTCCTGGTGGTGGCTGTTGATTGGCACCTTGTGATGAATTTGTGCTAGCTGGGGAGGAACCTAAAGATGATATGTACAAATCTCTACACTGTGTGATGCAATTAAATTATTTTAATAGTGTAAAATGCCAGAATAAACAGCTTCAAATACTATTCTTCTCTACCACCATTAATAAATCTCAAAAATGTAAAAATATGTGTTCAGAAAATTTCATCATATTTAAATAAAAGATTACAAAGAAAGAAAAAAAGTTGAATTTAGTTCTATACATATATAAAATATCCATTGTATATAAAAGTAAAAACAATAAGTAATTTTCCAGACATTTTATAGTCATTAAATATATTATACATATATATTTATATATACATTAAATTTAATATTTATAAAAATTATAATATTATAAATATATTATAAAATTATAATTTATAAAAATTTATTATATTATATTATATTATATATATGTATATATAATAAATGCCTAAATGATGCAATTTGCAAGAAGGATAAAGTCAAGTGTGTACAAAAACACAAAAAACAATTACTATTTTTTTTTTCAAAGAATTCTCTTTATTTTGGCATATATCTATAACTATTTAAATTCTATTCTACAGTTATAAGACAGCCATAAGATTTGCATGTCAATATACTATACATTGCTCAAAAATTATTGTTTCATATGTTTACAACGTACAGTGTTATAAGAAATAGGCACACATTCAGAATGTTGTAATTTTTTTACAAATATTTTACATATCATACTTTAATATTCAAGAGTATAAACTTTCCTCCATTTTTTTTTTTTTTTGCAAATGTATATTTATAGTATTTGGAAACATTTTCAAAAAATAATACAAAAAATTTATACAGTTTAATACGTTACAAATTTGTATGTGCAAATTATTAGAAAACAAATAAAGTCAATTTAGTCTTAGAAGATTCTGAGCTTAAACAATAAATGAGATTTGCAAATATCATTTTGTAAATATTTCATAAATTTCATTATAAACTCTTAATATATATTTTTACTAATAATTATAACAAAAACTTGTATCATTGTTTCATTTTATTCATATACTGAATGCATTTATACATTCGTCAATATTCATATATTTATATATTGAATTTGTCTATTTTTTTATATTTATTTTAGAAGTAAAAAATCAATACATATAGAAATGATCACGAATATAAGGAACTCACCCAAAATAGCAGCACCATTGTTCTCCTCACTTGATTCTACTAAATGTTCCACTTGATGATTCACATTTGAATCTTCCGTACTTGAAATTGTACTAGCTGGTGTACTACCTTCACGTTGTTGATCCGTTTCACTATCCGAATGCCGGCGATCTCCATTCTGTACTATTCCGTTTACTTTAAGTTCTTGAGATTGTTGGTATTGTTGTTGTTGTTGAACTAATTTAGATCTTTTGTTACTTTGTTGCTGCGATTGTTGTTGAGATGGTGGTTGCTGTGGCTGTTGCTGCTGTTGCTGTGGTTGCGACTGTTGTTCCGATTTACACTTATTACCCAATTTTTGTAATACATCACTATTCGATTCGGATGAAAAATTTCTAATATCCTTTTGTCCATTAATTTGTGATTGTACATTATTTTGTGTACCAATAGAGCTAGATTCCGATCGGGAAGTTGGCCGTGTACTGTGTTTTTCTTTATTTTGACAATTTTTGTGTTTATTCCGTGCTGCTTGAGCTTTACTTTCACTATTACTTTTTCCTCTCCGTATATTCATATTTTCGCCTTTATTATTATTGTTCTGCTGTTGCGTAGAACCACCAGACAATACATGACTCTGCTGATTTATTGTACTACTTCCGTTTGTCATGTTGTTTTGCTGTGATGTTGTTTGTGATGGCGGAGATAATTCTTTACAATTTGTTTGTGAACCTATAAATATAAAATTACAATAATTGATATAACTGCGTTGCTTCTAAATATACTTATTTGCATGAAAGAAAAACTTACTATTTGTCTGTCCGGTTTGTAACGATGGCCAAGCTTCTTTAGCTTGAGAATTTGAAGTTCCATTTTCTCTAACAATACTGCCTGTCACTGACGGTGATGGTGTTGGTTTCCTGAACAAAATAATTATTGTTTGAGCTACGCTATCTTTTCTTCCAAATATAATTTAATAATTTCTAGTCTAAAGTAAATTACCGTTGTGCAGATGCATGTGACGCATGTAACGATTGCACAAGTTTACGCTCATATTCTTGATGTTTGCCTTGATGCATCTCTTCCTTTGTAAACGATGCTTCCTGGTCCCCAAGATCGTGTAAATACATACAATCCGGTTTGGGACAAGGCTGATTGCGCATAAAATGTGAACAATACTTTGTTGTTCCTAGTGACGTTTTAATAGTCCTTCCATCCATAACAACATTATTCACAGCCTCTATAGCACGTAGTGCATCTTCTTGACGCTAATAATTTTAAAATATACAGTTTAAAATGTACAGTAAATATGTTTAAGTAAAAGTAGAGCTTTCAATATAAAAATATATAGAACTTACTTGATAAGTAACGTAAGCTGAAGCACTAGGACCTTGAGACCCTGCATAGGAAGTGCTTTGATTTATTACAACTTTGTGAATTTTGCCAAATTTTCCAAAATATTCGTGCCGCTTTAATATCTAAAAATTAATTATTATAAAGATAGTAAAAATTTTTGTCAAAATCAATTTACTTAATTTAACCACCTACATCAGCATCCGCAAGTCTCAATGGTAATCCTACTACAAATACTAGATTTTTTTGTACTACTCTCACATTTGCTAGATGTTTACGGTTTTCTGTAACCCTTTGCTTACGTTGCTGATCTTTTAATCTCTTTTCGGCTTTTAATCTAATAATAAAAATGAATAAGTATCAATTTATTTATGATTCATACAGATACTGGAAATATTATAGGACAAGCATTACATACCTTGCAATTTCTTCCATACTAAGAGGTTTAAAATCGGCAGGATTTTCAGAATAGGCCTTCCGACAGGCAGGACATAAACCATTTTCATCTGTACGAATTCTGTGCCAACAAAATCGACATATTTGATATCCACAAGTGCATGGAAAGAAATTTAAATCATCCACTTCCAATGGCTCCATACACAAAGGACATTCCACCGCATCTTCTCCACTTTGATTCAATACTGACATTTTTCTTTCTAATTTTTATATCACACAATACAGTATGTTTAAGATTTCCTTTATCCGTAAATCCTGCATACAAGTAGAACGTACTTCACACAAAATACTCAACATAAAAAAGTGCATAACTATAATTGTTCAGATATTTCGACTATGGTGATGATATTACAAACAAAATATATATTGTAACACTGGAAATGCACGGAACGTGCATTTGAATTCAGAAGTAACATTATTATCAATGTAAATTTAGTGTACATACGTGCGAATTCTCCACAATGTTCTGACACTATATAATTGACCAGCAACTTCTTATACACTAATATCCTTGCACAATCTGAAACAAGTAATAGGATATTAAAACGTACAGCGAGAATGTTATGACTCAAATGTGTCATAAGTATTAGTAGCCGTTTTCGTATAATTCCACGTCAATTCACAAGAAATGGATTCGCAACGTACATCGTAACGAAATCTCTTTCTTTCTCTCTCTCTTTTTTTCGAGAAGTATTTCACCGAGTAGGCGTTAAAACAGACCAAAATATTATAACCGAATATTTCTATCTTGTGCAAAATAAGATAGGAACAGCGAGTCTGTTTGGCTGACAGATTTAACGAACAGTTGGAAAGAAAGGACCCATTTGACAGGAGCTGTCAGACGAATGTTGAACGAACAAACAACGCTTTGGATTTTAGGGAGTCAGAATTAATCTGGTGTGCCCTACGGTGGACATAAAAGTGACAAGCTTGCACGTAAGGTTGAGAGAACGACGACGACGACGACGAAAAACTTGCGGTAGGGCCCACCGTCTATACTCTCCCACTCACTTTCTCTCTCCTTCTCCGTCGCTCTTACGACGAGACACGAACTATACGAGAGGGCGACGATCGGACGAAACAGCTGTTGGTGGCGTCGAGAGAAGTGAAGAAACGTCAGAGAGTGAGTGAGAGGGTACTACGCCATAGCAGAAACCTACGTGAAAATCCGTAGAAAAGTCGGCGTGGTGGGGCATGACACGTAAATCCCCCAGAGCTTTGAATACAACTATCCTCATACGCAAGGACGATGGCTCTATGTTTCGCGATATGATTTTTAAGAGGGGAAAAAGGCGAGCGAGAGAATGAGAAATGGAAGTAACGAAAAGGAGTGGCGGAGAGAAAGAGGAAAAAGGAAAGAGAGGAGGGAAGAGGGGATGGATGGATGGGGGAGGGAGGGAGAAAGAAAGAGGAGAGGGAGGAGAAAGAATGACAGAGAGGAGGCTAGAGACAGAATGGGAAAGAAAGAGACGGACGTGCAAGAAAAAAAAAAGACAGAACAACGATGCCATCATTCGTTTTGTCCTTTTTTAGCTAATAGTCGTTGTCTTGATCTTGCGCGTGAAAGGAAAAGACTCTCACTGATCTCTCATATCTGTTGTACCTACTCTTAAAAAAAAAAATAAAAAAATAAAAAAATAAAATAAAAAGAATTAATAAGGAAAAGACCCGTGATCTTAATTTGAATGCAACCAAAGTAAAAGCCCCAACTCGAATATTTCAGTTTACGGAAGACAAAACTGCGACACAGCGCGATTGTATGGCTCGCAGTGAACTTCACAAAGGATTGAATGATTTGTCGTCAGAGGGGTTGCTAAATACCCTGGGGACTGGTTACAGGGTATACCTGACTCGTTTAACCTTAACTTCGTTACAACAGGGAAACTTTTCAACAATTTTCGATAGTAGGTGAACCGCGTGCCACTGTTCTCGTCGTCGATTCTAGAGTTATCCTCACGCATTCGTCAGTCCAAATTTTTTGGCTCTTGTTTACTTACGTTACAACTTTTCCACTAACAAATCTCTTTTCTGTACTGGGAAATTTTTGTACAGTCTTCTAGATCTGGTCGCATGCGCACTGCGACTGCGCAGAAACGGACATTACATACACTGGTACATATTTAAAGAAAGGCTCATAGGTAAAGAATTCTGAAAGCGCATGTCAGATCCACATTTCGATTGTACTGTTATGCTCTTCCAAATATTTCTTTTTTTTTCATTCAGTTGATATTTCTTACTCATATTGATATAAGATAGATAGTTAACAAATATTTCTTATCCTACTACTTTCGATGTTCACAATTTCTTCCATTTCATATTTACCGCGCATTTGAAAATAATCAGTAAGTGATAATAACGCCAATGAATAAAAGTAAATGACCCTAGCATTGGATAAAATAGGGAATTCTCATTGGATGAATTCTATATATTTAAAGTTATTTAAATTAATTAAATGTGAAATTCATGTTATATTTATCATTGATATAGGACATAATAATATTTCAATATGATAATCAAGTGTTACGTTTTATTATAAAATACAAAAACCTAATTTTACAGTTTATCTTGTCAGGCTAAAATTATTTCTATTTATTTTTGTCTATTAATTTAACTTTTTATAAATAAAGATGCAAAAATTTTTTATAGTTGCAATTCATCAATAATATACAGTGCTTAAACAAAGTATGATATATAATATTGTATTTTTCCATTACCATTTTTTACCTCTAGAATAATTACTTTATTGAACGATACCAATATTACCTTTATACTGTACACCAAATAATGGATGTCGTGTTCTCAAATTTTTTGGGAACGGTACACTACAGTTTTTTATCTGCATTGGTTCAATTTTTGAAACGTTTGAAAGTTTTCGTCTGACAGTAATTGTACCCGCTGGTTTCATATTAACTACATTAAAAAATATATATAAAATGTTTAAAACTTTACACAAAACAGCCACTGATCATATTTTCATATAAATATATTACCAGTTTTATATTGTGATTTCATTTTGCCAGCATGGAAAACACATGTGACATTACATTTAACTTCATGATTCACTGCATAGTATTTCTCCTCGTTAATTTTAAATTTAGATTTTTCTCCAAATACTAAAGTTTGACCTTTAAGTTCTTGTGGATTTACCTGCAAATTGTACAATATTTATAATATTAATGTAATATTTTCTTATTCGAATATTCTTGACTTACTGTTCCAGGAATATCCATAATCCATATATCTTCACTATCAGATAAATCATCCAAGTCAAATGTTGTATCTGTAGTTTCTGCAATTAAATCTTCTTGTTGTACTAAATCATTGATCTAAAATAAAATTTACAAAATAATTCCATGCAGAAATTTATGGTAAAGAAATATAAAGCTTTATCGTTGCCTCTCCAAATTTGTAGCACATGTTATACATTATTCTATTTGTTTTAACGTACATTTTAATACAAATATTACTTTTTTTTTTGCTGAGATAATAAATGATCAAAAATCAAAATTATTAACAAATAATCTGAGGCTAAGCTCTTTTATATATCTTCCTTTCTATGATGCTGTCTTTAGTAGATCAATACCAGCAGAATAATATATATGTACTAAAAATTTGGGAGACAACAGTGCAGATCAACCAAAATATATACGTTTCTAATTGCAAAAGGGTATAAGTCAAAAAATTGTTACTTCTGCAGAACATTAGAAACATTAAAAACATTTAAATTTTAAATACAATATAAGGTCAGATATTGAATTTTAGACATGAAAGTTAATATATATCTCATTGTACTTCAAAATATACATCATTTTGTTGAAAATAATGATTTGTATACATCATTTTGTTGAAAATAATGACTTGTATTAATTTGATTAAAGTTTGACTTGTACTCTTTTGCTCATCCTCCAAAAATACATAGTATAAGTATAGATCAAATTTTATTCACATTGTGTGGTCTTACAGTAGACACATTCAATGATAGTCTACTGTCATTTGTTTCACTTAAAGTTTCTTCATTATTTTCTGCTTCTACTACATTTCTTTTCTCAGGTCTTTTTAAAATGCTTTTCCTAGATATAGGTAAATTAGGAAGACTGGAACGTTGAATTTTTGTATTGATCTTTATAGATTTATTACTTCTTCGTTGAGATGTTCCAGTTTCTGTGTTGTCCATCAGGACCATGCTTTTATTCAACTGAGTATTTAACTTAGTTAAGGAATCTTCCATATCAAAATCAGTCATATTTAATAAAACAAATTATCTTTCAATAAAAGTAATATAGCGTTTAGTTACATATATTGTAAAATTTCTTGTAATTTATAAATCTTCCATATGAAATTTGTACTATACATGTACATACGAAATATAATTCTTTATTATATTTCCAAGAACTATTATCCAACACACTATTTACATAAACCCGGGAGAAAATTAGACTGTCATATAAATATACGATACTCAATATAATTAATATAAACATGTATAAACACACACGTATATACGTTTTCTCAATAGCAAGTTCAATGAACAATAGTATCGTCACAATAAACGTAAAAACGAAACAATTAATTCATAGGTTGGAATTTATTATATCATGTGCTCATGTGCTCTATCACTTCAACTTTTGCAATAATTTAATGCTTTAACTGTTAATTTAATGCTTTAAGGATATTTTTCAATGCAAATAACTATAGAAGATTAGGGCACAGTTTACAATGATTGTATTTCACGCATATTTTTATTCATTATTTATTCATTTAAAATTATACAACAGATTGTATAATAAATATTTCAATGTATAAATTAATTTATCACAATAATAACAAAATTGTTACTAATATTATTTGTTCAATTAAAATACAATTTTCCGTATGATGGCGTAGCAGATGTATTATTTTGGTATAGTTAAAATAGCGGTTATTTTGGGTTTGTTAATACCATTGATCAATTTTGATTGAAAACGCCTATTTTACGGATGTTGAAATATTTTTTAAGCATTGTTATAACTTTCTCGTGCATTTATTTCTTGAAATAATTATAATAGGCGCAAAATGTTTACAGTAGGAAATTTACGACGCTCTTCTCGATTAAAAGGTAGCATATACATGCAAAAATGGATAACATTACTCTTCGAAGATATATTTATTTACGATTTTTTGTTAAATAACTTATCTTTATTTCAGTAAGAAAACCTAAAAGATATATATCGTCTAGTTCGGATGAAAATTTAGATGATACAATAGAAATAAATACAACAGACAATGAACTTAAAGACGTAGAGGAAAATGTACAAAAGCCAATTGGTAATTTTTCAGTAACATGTTTAGCATTGGTTTTTTTCTTTTTTTTTTCAAAAATTAAGATATATTATTTGATTAGAATTATTTTCAAACGATGATGTAAGTGGAGAAGCATTATACAAATTACAGACACCTGGAAAAAAAGATGCCATGACAAAGAAGGCATATTTGTGTCGTACACCCATTAATGCTCATAAATTACCTGTAGCTAAAGTTGTTATTGAAAAGATAAATATAAATAACAAAGAATTATCAAAAACACTAAAAAAAAACCAAAAGATTTCAAAAGGTACAAAAAAAAAAACTTTCAAAATATAATGTTCTTTCAATAGTCAATCTAACAATAATATAATACTGCAATAATAGTTTTTATTTTCAAATATCCAGTTCCTATTGTTTCAAGAAAATATGAATCTGGATTAACTTCAAGCGAAAGTGAAAGTATATCTGAACCCAGTGATTATCACCCGAGTGAAGATACTGAAGATGAAACAACTGATAATGAGGATGTAGAGTCTAGTTACGATGAAAAAGATGAAATAAAAACAAAAAACCAAAGACAAAAATTTATATCACAATCAAACTTATTGTGTACACCAAAAAAAATAAATAAAAAAAATAAACCTTCAATTATTCATAAGGATTTTGTAAGTATAATATAATGAATTTCAATAGAATGTTGGTAAACAAATTATATAATAGATTACTATTGTTGTATATTTTATACTTTTAAAGCATATGGAAACTGATGAATACTTTGTGACACAATCAGAAAAGGTAATTACATCTGATCGGACGTTAGAACATCTACGTAATTCTCGTTTAACTAAGGAAAAATTGGAAACATTGTTAGCAAATCAAAATCATGTGTCATCACAACATAAAAAGAATATTTATTCATTAACTAGGAACTATTCTATGCTATTTCCGATGTGGTACTTTATTATGGAGTAAGTACTAAAAAGATGTTGAAATCTACATAGCTTTTAAGAAATACTAAAAACAAGATATTGAAATCTATATAGCTTTTAAAAAATTTTGGTAATACGTATTGCTTTGTTGTATTTTAGACAAGGTTATACTGTATTGCTTTATGGTTTGGGTTCAAAAAGATGTTTGATCAATAATTTTCATAAAAGTATATCTTATCATCCATCACTAGTAATAAATGGATTTTTCCCTAGTTTAACTACAAAAGATGTAAGTCATATGAATGAAATTAAGATATAAATATTCAAATAATATAATAAAAATAGTATAACATTTTTTAGATATTGGATGGTATAATTATTGATTTATTGGAGTTGAATTGTTCTAGCAATACAACTGAATGTATAGATCTTATTGAAAAGACTTTAAAGAAAAACCCAAAAGACAGATTATATTTGTTAATACATAATATAGATGGCATAATGCTACGTTCAAGTAAAGCTCAAGATTTATTATCTTGTCTTGCAAATATACCGAATGTTTGTGTTTTAGCATCAATTGATCATATCAATGCCCCGCTATGTATGATCAATTTTATATTATATTTTTATGATATTACTTTATTATATTTTTAATAACTTTTATATGATTTCACATTTATAGTGTGGGATCACACAAAACATTCTAAATTCAATTTTTTTTGGTGGGATACAACAACATTTTTATCTTACCAGGAAGAAACATCTTATGAAAGCTCACTCTTGGTTCAACAAAGTGGTGCTCTTGCTTTATCATCTCTTCATAATGTTTTTCTTTCTCTAACTTCAAATGCTAAATCAATCTACATATTGCTTGCAAAGAATCAGTTGAATAATTGTAATAATGCTAATTTCACTGGTAATTTCAAATTTATTAAAACAATCATATATATAGAATTACATAGTTTTAACTTAAATTATATAAAAATTTTTATTAATAGGAATGGCATTTAAAGATCTGTATCGAGCTGCCCGTGAAGGATTTCTTGTAAGTTCAGATTTAGCATTAAGAGCACAACTGACTGAATTTATAGATCATAAATTAGTTAAAATAAAGCGCAATATTGATAGCGTTGAACATCTTATTATTCCATTAAATAATGGATTTTTAAAACAGTTTCTAGAAGAACACGATATGTGATATTTTTAACTATAACATATGAGATATAAATATTTATACATTTTGTATTCATTTTATACACTAAATTATAGTAAGATATAAATATTTATACATTTTGTATTCATTTTATACACTAAATTTATTAAAAAATTTATATTTTCTTAAAAAATAAAAAACAATAAAACATATTATTAAAAAGTTAATAATGTAGCATATAATTATGGCAATGTTATGTCCTTCAAAAAAAGTTCTATAAACAAAATCTATCATATTTTATATATAATATAATATTGTTTTAGTTTCTTTTAAATATTTAAGTTGAATAAAATTCTATATTAAATTTTAATATAAACACATTTTTACATGTGTATTACTATTGCACATATATACCTATGTGTCAAATATATTTATATATGAATATACAAGCCAATAATTAGCATGTAGGATTATGCGTATGATTATTATATATTATCGAAATGTGTATCTAAGGAATGTAAATTATTAGTGTAAAACCTTAAAATTAATTATTCTTTTTAATATGCATATAAAGCGTTCATTTGATGTTTTTATCATTTTATATATATATATAATATATATATATGTATGTATATATAATTTATATTTTATATTGTCTGATCCTGGAACTGAGGATGATTTACATTTCTTCAAAGCTGTAAAAAATCCAATATAGTTAAAGAGTTAATCTAGAAATAAATAACCTGTTGAGGAATTTTTCGGTAATGGATCTGTAACCCATGGTAAGCAGATTCTGTTCATTGCTTTCTGCTAGCTTTTCTTTTTAAAAAAAAAGCCATTGCTAAATTCTTTTTTTGCTTTTACCCATTTTGATTTGAAACTTTTTAACGTATTCCAGAAGTGAGCAAAGCCTGTTCTGCTGTTTAGATTGCTTGTTAGCTCTCTGCTTACTTCTTATTTTTTTAGCAGTTTTCTTTCTGCAATTGTCATCGTTTATGTTGAGCCCAATCTTCCATGTGTAGAGTATGTAGCCATTTTTTGAGAAAAGCCTAATTTTCCTCACAGCCTAATTGCATTTATTATCTCACCATTATACTGGATTATTTTTGTTATAGTTTTTTATTTACTATTATATTTTCTTAGTTACTTTCACGAAATTAATGTATTGCATATAAATTATTGTATTTGCATACTGGTGAGAAAGTACTGAATTCATAGCTGAGGAAATATGTTATAAAGAAAGTCCAATTTCATCTTTGTATCTCTTCCATCTAGTTTTGATAGAAGAGGATTTGTTTGATTTCTTGCGATAAATATATTTGTCTATCTTTATAGCACAGTTTATGTTCTATAAAAATGATCTGTCCATACGTGTCATCTAATTGTTATGTTATAATTCTGAGCAATATCTGTCTTTAAGATTATGTGATCTAGATTTTTTTACCTTCACTTTTTCTATTTCAACAATAGAAGTCAAAATAAAAAACAAACACAAAACGAAAACCAAACGCCGAAATTTAATGTTGATAGCAAAAATGATAAGTTTACTCAAAATTGGAGACATGAAATGCATGTCCTTTAGCTATGCAAAGATCTCATTCTCAAACAAGGACCCTGCAAACGTGTTTGTCAACTTAGAACTAAACAAACGAGATCTGGAAGCCTTCATATCTAGATACAAAGAGAAGACAGAATTGACATAGATGTGATAGAAATTATTAATGAATCTATCTTTTCATGTAAAATTTTAAATGCCAGTGGAATGAATAAAAAGATTCAAATCGCTGAAGGTAATAAATGGGAGTGGGTCTGTAACGAAATTATACTCTTACTTTTGAAGGAAAGACTTTACCAAAATATTTTAAAATCTTCGGTCTTTACAACGTAAAGGTTCATGTTCATATCAGTCTCGTTAAAACATGCAGAACCTGCTATAGATACTGCTATAGAACTGCTGGTTACACAATCAAAAGCAGAAGCACCATACATTGCTGTTACATTGTGTATGATGTTAGATAACTAAAGAATATAAGTGCAAAATACCATCATATACGTTTTCTCAAGAGTATGAGCATTGTCTCTGCAAGAAACAAATCATTGAAATAATGGCCTGTGAAAGTAAATATTTCTGGAAAACCACAAATTACAAATTGATAGGAAAAAACAATCCAGTGAAAGAAAACGAACTCTAAAAAAAAACAATGTTTCTGGAGTTACTCTAAATAAATCTGACTTCCCTTATTTAAAAAAAACCTTCTATAACTGATGAGTTCGAAATAAAATTTTCATAGACTAATCAACAAGTATAATTTGATAATGCATTACATAAAGAATCATTTAAGTTATGATTATCAGAAAACAACCCATCAAAGACAGATATCGCCCACAGAATTTGCAACAATTAGGTAATACACATGGTCGACCAATTTCTAATAGACTATGCTATAAAGATAGATAAATTTAAATATTTTAAACGGGATTAGAAATATCACCATCCCGTTATAGTAAAATAGAGTAACGGAACGCTTTATTTTGATACTAAAAATAATTAATTTTAATGTTTTACACCAATAATTTGCATTTATTAGATATACATTTCGAAGATTATGCTACGAACTATATTCACAAATAACTTTGATTTCAATATTCAATGTTGTTTGCGAAAAATCGAATAAAATTTCAAAAAAGAATTTCGATCTATTAAGCAAAATTTAAAAATCTTCACTAATGCATTTTAAAATTTAAATGAAACATACAAGCTAAGAATTTTAACCCGGGATTACCCACCTGGGGGTCTAGCGCAGGTACATCCCGGCGACTAGACCCTCACGCGAGTAATCCCGGGTTAAAAACCCCAACGCAATTTCAAAAGTTGATAAATTATTCATCTTCATTGATTTTTTTTTTACAAATTAGTGGTATTTCGATTTGTAGTGATTATGATGATAATAATACTACAAATAAATAAGAACTTCGTAATTTTAGTAACTTTTAATAAATTATAATAAATGATATTTAAATAACAATAATATATTAGATAAAGTTTATAGCACAAATAAATAACTGTTTTCTCCGAATGTTAATTAAGGAATAAATAACAAATTATAAAATGGGGTCTATATATACATCTCTATAAATAAGTAAACATGGTAATAACATCTCCATAGTAATAATAAAAATAAAATAACAATTTACAAATATTCTTATGGTAGGAGTTTATATACAGTTGGCGATGTCGGTTTACAGGAAACATACTTTTCGGCGAAACGATTGTGTAGATGGCGTTGATGTTAATTTTGAAGAGGTAATTGTCGCTATAGATTTGTAGTAATTATGATGATAAATAAATTAATATCACAATACTACAAATAAATAATAACTATATAATTACTAATAATAAATATCAAATAATAAAACGAAAGTTAAATAATGAATGAATAATTAACATGATCATTGCAATATATATAAGTTTTTGTAAATATTTCCATGGTGACAATAAAATAACTAACAATTTTTAAATATTCTATTGTTTATTTTAAATACACATCTCGACGGAACAATTTAATGAACATAGATGTCGTTGATCTAAATTCTTCGAAGTAGAGGTCGCTACAGATTTGGACATAATAGCGCCATCTGTCGATAAGCCAGTCGTACTAATTATTTTAAAAAATTTTTATTTTTACACTTTATGCCGCAAATGGGGTCCAAGAAAGAGAGCTGACGATTTAATTAAGAAGACGTAATTACTAAAATTTGCAATTTAATTCTCTAAATTAATTTTTTTTGTGAATGAAAATTTGCTTGTTCTGGCGGCGCGCGTATTCAAAACAGCAGCGACGATGATTTAAAATGATGAAAGAAGAAAGATAGCAGAAAATATATTGTATATTCTTAGTTGTTAATAATTAATTAAAGCAAACGTTATAAAATCTTGTACATTAATATTAATAAATAGTTATTGGTATAGTTTCTTGTTAAATTTCGTATTTATTTAAAGAAGTAAACCACCATAAAATTGGCGACCCCGTGATTTTTACGAGATTTAGGAAGTGGTTTAATAAGATTCAATATTACGATATAATAATTCGTGCAGATAAAAAATATTATAAAGAATCAATTAAGGAAAGAAAAGGAAAGATACGTTTAGCTCAAGTAACGGTTTCAAGAAACACCGAAATGGAAGACTATATTTTAAGATCTTTATAGTTAAATAGAATGCCCGTTAATATGGGAGAATTGTCAGTTTCAGGAAAATTAGATCTTAATATTTTAGCGGAAGCTTTAATTGAGAATACAACAAATGGATATGTCATGTCACATTTCGATTATATATTTTTATAAATAATTATATGTAAAATATGTTTTTATCTATTTACCTTGTCATCGATTTATTTCTTAATCAAATATACTATAATGTATACTAATACTTGTTTGATTCCTAGTTACAATATAACGTATTTTATATAAATACTATATTCAATGTTCGTATCAATAAACAAAATAGGTTGTCTTTTTAATTAACTTTTTATTGTTTAAGGACACTTACTTTTTTATGCTTTCAAATTCATTCACAACATTTAGTAACATTTGTTCTGTTTGAAATATTAGTAACACAGCATCTATTGGCTACACTGTTTATTAAAAGAGTAACACTTCATGTAATACGCAACGTACACAGAAATCTCGTTCTATGGTGTCATCGATTCACATTAAACATGTAACAGTAAGAAAAGTAAGGCGTACCTTTCGAAATGTTAAACATTACTTTTGTCTTTAAATGAACGTGACAAACATATACCAATTTTTTTATAGGAGAACAAAGTCTCTATTTTAAACGTATGCGGTAAATTATCTCTAGGGGTGGGGTCTCCTGTCATTTAAAGCCAAAGAGGTGAATGAATTATGTTGACCTTGTAAAATATAATATAATATAATCATGGCACGACCTATTGTACCTAGTCAACAAAAGTTAGCAGAAAAGCTAACTATTTTAAATGACAGAGGTATTGGAATGTTAACTCGCATTTATAACATAAAAAAGGCATGTGGTGATGCAAAATCAAAGCCCGGATTCCTTTCAGATAAAAGTTTAGAATCTTCTATCAAAATGATTGT